GTCCACCTCTACTACTCATGAACTCATCAGTTGCCCATTTCTTATTAACAGCAGAACCGTCAGTTGTTGGGTCAGCTACCTTGGTTAACTCAAAATTATTCACATCTAGGTTACTTGATAACGTACCACCGTTACACTTCAAGAACTGTAACCCCCAGGTATCCAGTGTCTTACTTGACAGAGCAGCTGTGTCTCCCACAGAGCCTCCTGCAAGACCCGTTATACTATGCCCTCCCATGTCAATATTACCTGTCATCGTAAAACCACTACTATTGATTGAACTTCCACTAACATGATCAGTGACCCATTTCTTGGAAACAGCAGACTTGTCAGTAGTGGGATCACCTAATTTTACTATTTCGTTGTTTCCCATGTCAAGGTCATCACTTAGGGTTAATCCGCTATACGTTTCACGCCTTCTTCTATCTCCACTAATCTTATCTTCTACCCACTTTTTGTTAACAGCAGATGTATCAGCACTAGGAGCCCCAATATTTTCAATTTCATTTCCACCCATCTTGAGAACACCAGTCATTTCATTTGAACCGTCCAGTTTTAGGGAAAAGCGTGAGATTTGGTTGATTACGGTTTGAATATTGGGAACAGCTATTTTTGCACCAAGGTTGTTGATTGTATAAATTGAATTACCATTTGCAACGGTTAGATCACCATTTAGAGTGAATCCTGATGTAACCCACCTTTTGCTAACAGCGGAGGCATCAGAACTAGGATTACCAATATTTTCAATTTCATTTCCACCCATCTTAAGATTACCGGTCATTTCATTTAGTCCGCTTAGTTTAAGATACGAACTAGTTAGTTGACTGAGTCTCACAAGACTTTTTGGATCTAACCCATCCACGAAACTCCTAGGGGCTTTAGAGAAGTCGATAGGTCCAGTTACACCCTGTGATAGGAAAGAGTCGCTTAGCCTTAGGAATGTTCCCCTGTTTGAGCTAAACCACCTTTTTGTAACAGCGGACTGATCCTCAGTAGGATCCTTAAGATTCTTAATCTCATAATCCTTCATATCAAGGTCCCCAGTTACAGGTTTATTTATCATGCTAGTTACCCAGTCCTTATTAACAGCAGACTTTCCAGTTGTAGGATCACCCAAAGCCTTTATTTCATTGGTTGACATATTGAAATCATTTGTAAGGATAAGACCGGGTAGACTTGCGTGTATATGCCTGCGGCTACCTTCAACCCAACTCTTACTAGCAGCATCACCTGGATTAGTAGGATTATCAAGATTAGTTATCTTATTACCTCCCATGTCAATATCCCCAGTCATTGTGAACCCTACTGGTTGAACTGTAACAGCAGCCTGTTTAACGATCTCATCATCTACCCACTTCTTTGTGACCGCAGATGTATCATCTGTAGGTGCACCTAAACTCTTTACCTCATTACCATCCATCTCAATGTCACCCTTCATGGTAAATCCATTCTTATCAAACACACTGCCACTTGATGGGTCAACTTTATTTACTCCTTTGTTGTATCCCCGGTAGAGAGCCATTTTTCTACCATACACAATGTTTCACAGAACAGTTCTCAATATAAGAAACACAGCAACAGACCCGATACCAAGTCCAACTAAAGTACCATCACCTAAGGACTCACGGGTACTAAACACCTTACGCTGTGCGATAGGTGTGCTAATCTTAGGAACAACCTGAGGTGCAACACTTACAGAACTCCCCGGAACTTTTGTGTTTCCACTAAGAGTATCAAGGTGGTGAACTGGTGTGCTATTTTGATGCTGTTTCTTTGGAGGATCAACTTGCTTAACACCGACATAATTTACCTTAGGATTCACCCCAAATTTCATTGTATTAGTTGCCGTCTTTAGAAGGTTATTATAACCGAGAATCGGAGTTTTTAGAATAATAAAGTTCGATGGGATTAGAACTATTCCAGGGGATAGGGCAGTGTTTAGAATCACATTGGTGTCCCTCACAGCTTTCCTCATACTGCTAATTGTTGTTACCGTATTACTTTGTAAAATAGTAGACTTTACAATAGTTCTAAAGTCACGTTGTGTTTGAAGAGCCTTTGGACCGTTTCCTTCTATTGACCACCTTGTATTAGCTTGACATCCTAACATAGCATACACATAGGACTCAATACTCTCCTGGATAAGCTCAACGCCCAACTTAGTAAAGCCATTGCTTTTTTCAGCTATGAATGAAAGGTAATCACTACCAGACAAAGGTCCTGCACTAGTTGTAGCACCACTTCCATCAATAATATAATTCTGATTTATTGGAATGTGTTTCCTTACAATATCAAGGTTAACACCAAGTTTATCAATAGCATCCTTACTAACTGTTAACTTTTTAGTTGTGTAGTAAAGATGATACCTCATAATGGATGTTATTATTTTAGGAACGGAATTACTTTCACGAACGTGTTCTAAGGATACACCGCTGAGATAGCTAACTATGTAGGCGCCAGACAACATTCTAGTGTATGGTATCATATTAAAGGAAACTTTTCTTACATCCTTATTAGTAAATCAGGACCTTCATCCCAACCTACACCAGCATCAGGGAAGTTAGACATGAAATAACTGTTTTCATTTACATAGATCTTAAAGTTGTTAAAGTTGTAGGGAAGACTTACAGGAGGTCGATACGTGTTAACACGATAGCCGTCATCATGAACCACAACCCTACTGGACCCTAACTTTCTTTCATCGTAAGTAGGATCCTTTGGAAATACAAGAGGTTCATATTTTTGAACGGTGCCATTACTATTCCAAAGATGTGGCCATCCTTTTGGTTTCAGGGGAACTTTAGGCTTAGGTTTAGGAGGAGGTGCCACCGCCTTGGGTTTCATTGATGTGAGGTATGATGTGTATTCGCTACCCCCCTCAAATCCATTGTATCTTATGTCACAAGACGTAATTCCATCTAAATCCACAAACCATGTAACAACACCAATATCACCACTACTTGTAGTCATAGCTTCAAATTTAAATCTTCTCATATCTGCAAAAGAATAACTTGCCATAAATCTAGCTCTTTCAGCGTCCTCTGCCTTTTGACCGGCAGTGGGATCAACATAGCCATCAATATTATTCCCATACTTTTTTTCATATTCTTGGTACGACCGATACGGCGACTTACCAACTTGTCCTCCACCTAGTCTCATTCTTAATAACCTAACGTATGTTATTAAGATGAAGTTCACAATTTTACTGCAGAGCTCGCACACAGTTGTATCACTACAGAACTCAGTTCTAACAAGCAACTATAAATCAGTCTTTGTGAAGAGAGTATCAGTATTCTGGGAGTACTTCAACATAAGGGAAGCAACAACTATTCTCAAAGTGAAAACAGATAATGGAGAATCTGATGTAATTGTTAATAAAGGTTACTACACATTTGACAGTATGAAGAAGTTACTTGAAAGACATGGTTTTAAGCTAACCTACTTTACTGAAACAGCAAGCTGTCAGATAGAGGCAGTAAAACAAGATATCACAATAGAAACACGATTACTGACTATATTTTAGGTTTTAATAGATTTTTTGATCCTATGATCCTGCTGAAGGGGAGGAGTTTGACAAGTGATAGCAAAGTTGACTTTAATAACGGTCTACGATACGTAAATATACACTGCAATCTGGTAAGTAACAGTTACAACGTTAAACCTTGGGGGAGACCCAGCGATGTAATAACAAGTGTTACAGTTCCAACAGACAGACCATTATTAGGCTCGGTAGTTAGTTACATTGATGTTGAAAGCAGGGCTTCGATTGTTAAGGTTTCATGCTCAGAACTTGTCTTCCACATGACAGATCAAGACGGGAAACCTATTGATATAGATGAAGTGCTTATCGAGATGTACCTTGAGTAGCGAGCTTACATTGGTTAATATAAGATGGACGATGATACTATGAAAGACCAAGGACTACGAGATATTTACTACAATCCTAAGACTGGATTCCAAACACCAGAGAAACTATATCTTAGAGCAATATCGGAGGGACTTGAAGTGACCAGAATTCAGGTCAAGAAATGGATAAATGAGCAAGACACATACACTAGGTACAGACAAGTATTTAGGAAACATAAGTTCAGACAGACGTACGTCCAAACTTTAGGTGAGCAGTTACAAATGGATTTAGTTGACATGACAAAATATGACGACAAGAACAAGGGATACCGATGGATTCTCACATCCATTGAAATACTGAGTAGGTACGCATTCACAGTACCAGTGTATAGGAAAAACGTGGGGGCAATGAAGGACGCCGTCCGTAACATTTTAGAGCAATTTAATAATCGTTTTGGTAAATACCCAAAATTCGCCCAGTTTGATCAAGGCACAGAGTTCTACAACAAAGATGTAAAGTCATTGCTTAATAAGCATAACATTGAATATTTCTCTACTTACTCAGATAAAAAGGCCGCAGTTGTGGAAAGACTTAACAGAACACTGAAAGCGCTAACGTGGAAGTACTTTTGCAGTGCCAGTACATATAAATGGTTAGACGTTCTTCAAGACTTAACTGATAATTACAACAGTTCAGTGAACAGATCAATTAAAACAACACCAGACAGTGTCAACGAGTCCAATTGGACTGAAGTATGGCAGACACTTTTCAGTCACAATTTAGGTAAGCCGTCGGAACCAAAGTTTGCTGTTGGAGAAAGTGTTAGGATTTCAAAGTACAAATCAGTGTTCACAAAAGGGTACGAAGCAAATTTCACAGAGGAGTTGTTCACTGTGACGGAAGTGTATCACGGCCATCCAAACACATACACAATAAAAGGCAGTGCTGATGAACCAATAATTGGCAGATTCTATGAACAAGAACTGTAAAGCGCTGAAGGAAGAGAACCTGATTTCAGAATAGAGAAAGTATTAAGGAGAAGAACAGTGAAGGGTAAAAAGATGGCCCTAGTTACGTGGTTAGGTTATGATGACAAATTTAACAGTTGGATACAAGCTGGAGACATCAAGTCCCTAACATAAGTTAAAGTATTATGGAGGACTTCAAGGACTACGATGACATTGAGTTGGAGGAGATGGAGAAGAAGTATCCTCAATATGACGACCTCAATTATGATGATCTAACAACAGCTTTTAGTAGGTTAGATACAAAGGTGAAGGGAGAGGCTATGTATGGTGATGACCCTATAACGATAACCAATCTTGGAAGTGAACTAGACTATGTAAGGAATCTCATGGAGAGACGTGCAATAGAAGAAACAACTTTCACCGAAGGAAATGATGGTACAGTGAACATTTCAGGTCCATCAGGAAGCACAACCGTCCCAGGAGTCGACTTCGTGGAAGACCCAAACAATTTACTTACGGATGTGCTAGATGTATTTGATGATTCATTTGACACTGATTGGTTCAATATAGAGAAACGTCTGAGTAAACTAAAAAAGTTCTCAGAAGACCGACTCACAGCAAGTAAGAAAAGAGACTTTGAAAACCATGTAGAACGTGTTCATGCTGTCACAAGAGTTATCAAGGGAAAGGAGGGACTGATACTAGACCCTAAGTATAAATATGTCAGGGAACTCATAAAGCGATCATCTGTCAGAACACTCAATGATGGCACAGAGGTGTTGGTATTTAGAAGTGAACAAGGTATTGACAAAAGTGGGACACAGATAATGAAACGTGGTAAGACCAGCAAACCTGTGTACTCCAAGAACTCCATTGCATTGAGAGAATATAAGAACCTTATAAAGAAAATAAAAGAGGTACCTACGGATCCCGACAATATAATTGGAAGTGATGAATCAATTTACGAGGATACTAGAGAAGAGCCCCAGCTTGATACCAGTGATGAGGAATTCGCTGACCGCGAGGACATTGAGTTAATAGACATAGGTGCAAAACTAGGAGACCTTCCAGGGCTAACAATGCAAGAAAACAATGAACTGAGGGGTGTTCTTAACCCACCTGAGGGATCAGATTTACATAGCAGAACAGGTCCCAATGGATCATTGCAAATACAAGCGGATTACTTTGATGAAGCTATTGGTAGAACTGTAGAGCAAGCCACTGAAGCTGAGGGTACAACTGAGTACAATGCTCTCCTAGAAAGAATTGATAGTCTAAAGGAAGCTAGAGATCGAACCCTAGAACAGAGAGTATTAGAGGAATCCAGAGAGGCGCAGAAGATATTTAAGTTTGTGAAATGGTTAGGGGAGGAGAAGGTGGGTCTAACTGGAATAGCAATATCAACAGCAGGTCTACTAACAACTCTTCTTATTCATGCCCGGGGAGTCATTGTGAAGACAGCAAATACCACAAGTAAGCTTGTAAAAGCATTAGCAAATTTAGCAAAGAAAGCAGGGCCACTCCTGGTTCCATTTCTGAATGTCCTCGCGTCAGCTCTCAAATGCGGTGCTAAAGGTGTAGCATGGTTAGCGTCACACTTATGGGTATTAGTTGTAGCAACTAACCTACTTGTGTACAACAATTACAGCAAGTAAAGTATAGTAATGGCTGAAAGTGTAGAATTCAAGGCAGCATGGATGGATAGGGTAAGTACCATTCTTGATGAATACAATAATGAATACTCTGAGATCTGGGAAGGAGACCTAGGAACCGAGGACCTAGATGAGCTGAACAGATTATACCCTGGCTATAGGGTAATGAAACCTGAAGATATGGACTCTGAAATAGACATTCTCCGAAGGAAGATAACGGGACCCGAGCAATCGGAAGAGAAACAGGATATTAAAAGAGAAATTGAATACGTTAGTCAGCTAAGAAGAATGAAGACCTGGAAGAATTCAGAACCCGAGGCCTATCTAAACGCGACCCATGGTACTCTCAAGGAAGAGGTAAAAACATTAGTTGTACTCAGAAGAATAGCTAAGGCTGAAGTTAGAAGGAATGACTACTTGGGAAAAATAGATAAGCTGAAGGGTATTATGGAAAAACTAGGTTTTGATCCTAATGAGCCCGAGAAAGAGTTAGAAGCAGAGAAAGAAGAACGCAGGAAAGAAGAAGCTAGGAACAAGGAGGAAGAAGAACGTATGAGGCTTGCAGAAGAAGCTGCCGAACGTCAGGCGAAAGCTGAGTTTGAGCGTAAGGAAGCTGAGATTAAAAGACACCAGGAAACTGTTAAGGGTGATAAGGAAAAAACAGAGTACTGGAGAAAAAAGCTCGAAGACTGGGAAAAAGAAAAGTCTAAACCTAAGGAAGAACCTAAGAAAATCCCAAAGAAGCCTCAACCTAAGGAAGAACCCAAGAGACCCAAGACAGAGAAGCCCTACAGAGGTAAGGAACCCAAGAAGCCCGACAGAGGTAAGGAGACTGAGGAGCCTCTACCCGGGGAAGACACTGAATGGCTAGAGGATACTTTCAGCTTTGAGAACCTCCTATTTCAGGTCGCAGAGGATAGTATCCCAGAAGAGGATCAATCTATATTCAGCGGTGATAGTACGGAAGTCATGTTGAAGGATGTTAGGGAAGATCAAACGAAGTATGAAAGATTCAAATCATGGGTTGAAGATAACTTCAGATTTGTGCTTGCAGGTGTTATGGTATCAGTTGCTGCTCTTCTTACAGCTATTATCATACCAGACTAGAAAACTATCCTCAATGGCAGCAGGCTCCACGCACGGAGGTGGAGGTCCTTCACCCAAACCATCACCGTCGCCATTTCCACTTCCTGATATAGTAAGCAAACTGATTAAATTCATATCATCAAACTTGTGGGTGGTAGCTGTAGGTATCGGAATAATTTTACTTTACATGAACAGCTAAACATTACATATTGTATACAAACATGAATACCACAGAAAGAGAACTCCAACCTGGCTTCAGGAGGAGCCGTATGACATCCGTAAAAGGTCGCAGAACTAGAAGTGTTGTAACTTTTAATCCAACAACTATTGGACCAGGTGAAGAGCTGTACATAAACATCCCTAAACTAAAGCCTGACTCTTGTTTAGTCCCCGGATCGCTTGCACTATTATTTGACTTCAAAAATTCCAACACAAAGAGTCGCTTTAATAACAACCTGGCTAAGTTGATAGCTAAGCGTCTTCAGATTAAAGTAGCCGGTGAAACAGCTTATGACTGTTCAGGAGAGAGTTTGTACGAAATATACAAAGATCTATGGCTGACACTAGGTGACAGGAAAAAGATGACAGAACAGGGTCTTGCAAGTGAGAATCTTAGGAAACTGATATCAGGCGACGACTCAGGTGTAAAGGTAGGTGATGTTGGTAAAGTAGCAGATGGACTTCTCCACAGTGTGTACGGTTCTAAGCTGAGAAAACCAATTGACAAAATAATTGTCGATCATGGGCTCTACACACCGTTCTCCAGGAATAACAATCCTATGTGTAATCCTCACACTCCACCAAGCAGATGAGATTATGACTGCTCAAGGAGGTGAAGCTAAGGGTAATTATAAACTTGATAATCTTGAGTTAGAATACGAGACCATTGAGAATGACACCCTT